CAAAACCCGGAAACAGGATATGCATTACTATAGCATCTCGACGCGGTCCATGCAGTTAACACCGATGTTCACAGGAACCCCTTTTCCACTGACCATGCAAAAACCCAACAGACTTGTATATTCCCGCCTGGATGTCGGATGTCAGAGCCGCTTAAACCCCAAACCCGCAGAATCCCAGAACCAAAAGCTGAAACACCAAGCCCTAAATCCTAAACCCCCTACACTCTCAGTCACTACATCAGAAGCTTTCAACAAACCACTTTAAACCAGCATCCCGCACCGGCATCGTACTCTAATACGAAATAAATTCCGGCACTGGACCACCCTTTGCATCCAGGCCTATTGCGACTGCCGGGTACCCAGGCACTGAACCACCCTAAATTAAATTAAATCCCTAAACCTAATCCTGAACCACCATACTAAACCCTAAACCCCAAAGCCAAAACCCCTATGAATCCTAAGAAACCCTGAACCCTGATTCCCGAAACCCTGAAGGACAGAAATTGAATTTCCTGAACCGCCTAAACCTAAGTCCTAAACCCGAAACCCCAAACTCCCTAAGCCTTCGACCCTAATACCCCTAAAACCCTAAACCCTATACCCTCATACCCCTAAACACCCTGAAAAACCCGAAACTCCTAAACCCCTAAACTCCTAAACCCCTAAACTTTCAACCCTGATACCCCTAAACACCCTAAAACCCTATAATCAAACCTTTTCAACCCCTTAATCCGTCCCCAAAGAGCCTCGGAATGCCCAGCTTCTTCTAGGAGCGGCTCGGAAGTTCCTTCCTGGCGGCGGTGGTTTTTGACGCGAAATGTGTGGGTGGTTTAGGGTTCCCTTAAAGGGGATCTATAGGGGCTTATAGGTTTCCTTTAAAGGGATCTATAGGGTTTAGGGCCCCTTTTTGGGTACCTTAAATAGTAGGTGCCGGATTATAATAAGGACCAAAAAGGGACCCTAGTTTTGACAACCACCCGTGTGTTGTTGCTGCCGGGACGTCGCGTGTGTGAAAAGGGTTGGGGTTAGGGTTTAGAGTTTAGAGTTTAGGGTTTGGGAGTAGCATTTATAGGGGTCTGAAGGCTTCAGGGTCCACTGGGTTTTAACATGCGCTTAGCTTCCCGTTTTGACACCTGCACTCGACGCGCTGAAGCGCCTGATCCGTAAGTGAGGGGATAAAACTCAAGCAAACCAAAAACCCTGAGACCATGGAACTCTGAAACTACATCCTTCTTGCCACTGGACTTGGGGACTAGCCAGATCCTTGCATCACTGCCTTTCGTGTTCACCCGACTCTGTGCAGGTGCATTACTCGGCCAAAGAATGATCCACTGAAGAATTTACATCCCCAACCCACAACCCACAAAACTCTCTCTCTCTCTCTCTCTCACGCTCTTGCTGTCTATCGATCGAAAGATCTAGCTATAGCACACACAGGTATATGCTTGTTCGCTGTATGTATGTATGCATGTATGTATGCACTGTATGCATGTAAGTATGCAGGTATACAAACATGTGCATATATGCATGTGTATAAATATATATGTTATACATAATAATTATGTACTTATCTAAATCTACTTGTTTATTCACTTATTTAATTTCCTTATGTACTTCTTCTTCTATGCATATGTATGATATGAGTGTCCCCCATCCCGTGCCATACTCCCGCACCAAACCTGTTTGCCCAAGGAGTCCCCCCGAATTGCGCCTCAGGCTCCCTCCGGGCTTCTTCGAGGATTAGGTCGGAGCTCTCCTGGCACTTTGCTTGGGTTACCTTTAGGGTTAAGGGTGTACTACAGGGGCCTTTATAATTAGAACAGGGTTTTGGGGTCCTTTAAAGTATAACCATAATAAGGAACCCCCCCAAACATAGTATAGATGATTATTTAGGCTCCTATAGTAGGGTTGAGACTTTGTGCATGACATGGTATTCCAGGTCATGCAATGTGAGGTGCATTGAAGCACATCAGGTTTCAGGCATTCAAGTCGTTCACAAGCTCCCCCAGCTCTGCATCGGACAAAGCCGTTATTAGTCTCTCTCTCTCTCTCTCTCTCTCTCTCTCTCTCTCTCCCATGGTCACGCCACTTGTAGTGGGTTGGCCGAAGACGTCCCTGACCGTCGCAGAGGTTCTGCGTGGCCACTGTGGCGCCACACTTGCGGGGTCACAGTGAACAGCCCTGGCGAAGAAGATGTCCATGTGAAGCCCTATGACGCCGACAGTCACCCCAGCAGGCACCTGGGGGGTGTTCCCGCCGAAGTGGTCACATGCCCCAGCCGGATGTGCGCAGCGCATCCGCATAGGGTTTATATAGTGGTCTTGAAAGTTTGCGATGCACATGGAACTCAATACTTGGAACGTTTGCAATAGCGCTTGGAAGCCTCAAAACCCTAGCAATCCCTCAAGTACGAATGTAAAGGCCAGGCGTCGGCTTGAGGAAAGACTGCAACGGAAACTCTTGAGGGATTAAGGCCCACCTATGATCCTTCTTCCGGTACTGCTTACCACCAATGCCACTACATAGCCTTGTGTCGATCATTGACACTACGGCATCGCAAGCGCTGCTAAACCACTAAGGCTTGCAACTTGTATGCTAAACTGCTAAAACCCTGAACCCTTACAGATTACGTGAGCCTCTTGTGCAGGCGCACTGACATCAGCTAAAGGAGGACCCGGAGCGGCCATGGCCAGTTCCTGGCGGTGTTTTTTTTGCAGCTGGGTTGAGGGTTTAGGCTTTCTCTACGAAGTAAATAGGCCAAACCCAGCCATTAACAAATCCTTGTCCTTGAGAAGCCTCCGTCTAACAGGAACGGCTGTCTTAACGAAACCCTGTTTAACAGAAGCTGCTGTCTAACAACCGAAATCCCTGCCCGACAGAAACCTTAGCTAACACAAACTGCATCTAACAGAAAACCGCTGCCTGCAGAAAAAAACATGCTTTCTTCAGGATCCACATTACAGCAAGCAAGCACACGCCGTGAAAGGTACCAAGGGGCGGAGCTGGGCTGTCTGCGGAACCCCGAAACCCTCAAGTATTTGCAAAGCCTGTTACAAACCATTTTGAACCCTTGCACAAGCGCTCCCGAAAACAAAAAAGCTCTTGTGTGGCCTTGAATCCTGTGTCTTCATTCCCTTAGAAGGTACTTTAACAGTAGGGCCGCCTTAAACGGTACAAGAGCAAGAGGGTTTGGGGTGCTTTCGCCCGCGAAGTGAACACTTCTTCAGGGCCTGTCTTCTTCAGGGCCTCAATTACGATGATGATGGTGATGATGACGACTGTCAGTATTGTTGATACTGATATTAAAAATCTGGACCAATCTGTGGATCCCATATGATTTCGGCCAGAACCTACCAAGCTCTAACCCCAAAATGGTCCCTAGACACCGGAATCAAAGTGTGAAGGGTTTTGTTGCAAACGAGATCCAGGAGCCCTATAATAAGGAATACTGTTAGAATTTGAGTACACCCTTCTGCAGCTCTTCTCACAGGGCTTCTGAGACTTTGAGCTGCAAAGTTCCCACCCCTAAACCCGAACCCTTAACCCTGAAGCCCTTGACCCTAAGCCGTATAAACCCTAATCTTCGAGCCCTAAACCCTAAACCCTGAAGCCCTTAACCCTAAGCCCGTTCCCTATTTCATTTAAGCCATATTCCTTAGTTAAGGGGTCTTGGGCTCTCTGGGTAAACCCTCACCTTTGACCCTGAAGCCCTATAAACCCTAATCTTTGAGCCCTAAACCTAAACCCTAAACATCCCTAAACCCTGAAGCCCTTAACCCTGAGCCGTTCACCCTCACCTTTGACCCCCAGCACCGGCTTCTTGGGCTTTGGGGTTTCGGACCGAAGGTTCGAAGTGCTACGGCTGATGGACAAATTTCTACGGTTTAGGGTTTAGGGTTTTAGGACTCTAAGTTATGGGAATTATGGCATATAGTCGTCTTATGGGTAACGGAGGATTTTGTCCATCAGCCGTAGCATTTGGGAAATTTGCCCTTTCAAGACCTAGACTTTCGGGTTTAGGGTAGTTTGGAGTTTATAAACCCTAAACTCCCAAAGCCTAAAGCTCTACAAAAACCACTAAACTTGACAAAGGTCCCGAAACCCCCAACTCCAAGCATAGAGAGGCCGCCTGCGCCGGCTCAATCCCCGCCGTCGTTTCTTGCCCCTCCATGTCTTCTTCCTCCTCCTCCTCCTCTTCCTCACGGTTTGGGGTTTAGGGATGAGGGTAAACTCTAAACTGGCTCCTCAGGGTTGCTTTTTTTGGGGGGGAGTTTCGTCTACTTGCAGACTGAGGGGTTTAAGGTTCAAGCCTGTTGCAGGGCTTTGGGTTTAGAGGTGTAAGGCTTTGATTTATGTTCTCACGCTCGGACGCGCCAGATGAAGATGAGATGAGCTATACTGAACTCAGAACCCTAGCAAAAATTACAATTTTAGCTGTTTCTTGGGGATTAAATAACAGAAAACTGAAAATTATTTCTAAGTACGCCTAAGTGAAGATGAGGTTCATGGCTCAAAGCCGGCAATGCCGAGGTGCAGCGAGTTTCTGGGCCTCTTCAGCAATTTTGACAGCGTGCGCATGAACATGAGGAGCTGTACGTTGGGGGGGTTTCGTATATATATATATATATATATATATAAAAATAAATAGGGCTTACGACAATTATTGCATTTCGGGTCTAGGGAGAACTGTACATAGCTTTGGCAACCGAGTCTCCAGCTGTTGCTGTCTGAGCGACTGCCATCCGAACCAATTGACCTAATACCTTAATAAGGTTTCGTCCACTCTGCTGCAAGTCTGCTGCTTGCAAAAAACAGAATGCGCCCTGTACACTGCAAGCCTGTGTGGCTGCCATAAGAGATTTGGGAGTTACCGAAAACAAGAGACCCTAACATCGTAGCCAAAATAGTAGGACCCTTATTATAAGGACCCCAAAATAAGGTATCCATCATTTTCGGAAACTCCCATTTGAGCGTCTCAGTGGATTCGATCTTAGCGGGCTTCACACAACCAGACCGGGAGCTAGTGTAGTGGCTGGGCCCATGCAGGCCTGTTGGAAGGTCCTGAAGTGCTTGGGAAGATGGTCCATGAACTCTCGCTTTTCTGGATCCTTCGCGGCGCTGATCAAGTCCCGCATGAACTTCAGAGTGATTCCCGTGAGTCTCTGAGCATGATACTCTAAATGCCTGGTGCAGCCGGGAGAATTCGACTGTGCATGGGCCCACAGTGACACGCACTCTGCCGAGCAGGTCTTCTCGCTTAGCACCGGGATCATAAAGCGAATGTAGCACTCCGGGCTCTGCAGAAAGAGGCCGTAACTCTCCTCGGAGCAGAAGGATCCGGTGTTGGAGGATTTACTGCAGATCATCGGTAGGTTGATGTACATATGCCGGTACATGAAAATCTCCATCGTCTTCTTGCAATGGTCGTAGGGGATCTCGTTGGCCAGGGCCGTGGCGCAAATCGCCGAGGAGTAGCATTTTCTGTATGACAGGTCGAAGTCCTCCAAGCGGTAGATGCAGTCATTGACATCGCCTAGGTGGGGCTTTTAAAGCCTTTTAAAAATATTAGTAAATAAGATCCTCTTAAGCCCAATAAGGGAAAATATAAAATGTCCCAAAGCCCTACCTAGTCGCAGAACTCCGCAAAAGAGCGGTGGGTCCAGCTCCGCACCATCTTGATCGCACTGTCCTTGTAGAACTTTGCTAGGGAGGAGTTGACAAACTTCCGGGCCAGGGGGGCCTCCATTGATGTGTTCTAAGCCCTCCATTACGGCCCAGGCTGCCAGGCCAGCCGTGCCTTCCGGATCGAACTGGGTTGTCTCGCATTCCTTGGACAGGGTATTGGCCAGGGACACGGCCTTGACACAGTGCCCCGCCGTCTCGGCCAGCTCGGGTCCGTTCGTCTCCAGCCAGTGGATCAATCCCTGGGCCCCATACTCGGCCTGAGCCACGCCGAGGCACAGCAGCAGCCCCACAGCAACGTGGACGGGCATGGCAGGAACGAAGGCAGGCAGCGGAGGATTGAGGAGAGTGCGGCTGATGATGCCGGAAACTTCAGCCGCAGCCATTTAAGTTGAAGCTTTAGATTAGGGGCTTTCTCCGGTCGGTGCTATATGGGCCATTCGGCCCTGTTAGGCTGAGGGGACTTGCACTATGTACGTGCAAGTGAGGTAGGTCGATGCTAGAGCTGCTAGAGGTTGTGTGGGAATCAGCTCAACCTACCCGCCCAGAAAGCCAAACACCCTTCACTCACAAATATAGCTAAACAATATCTGTAAGATTCGGGTTTCAAGTCCATTCCCCGTCCATTCCTTAACTAAGGTCCCAGCACCTAAACAAGCACCGCTCAACATATCGATGACGAGCCGAGGATGATGACGATAAAGAAGAACATGATGATGGTGATGATGATGGTTGTGATTGCGATGGTAGTAACAACGCTGATGGCGAACATGATAACAATAGAATAGTGATAGCAATGATGATGACGGAGCGATTTCGCAAAGGTGGCTGCTCAGGGACCTTTTTCCCCAGACCTTTCTTTAGCTTCACAAATCTCAACAAACTTGTCCCAACCTTCAAAATCATCGGACCCACCAGCTTCTTCGCCTTCTCTGGTAACTCTGGCTTTGCTGCCCGGCTTCATTAAGTCAGTTCAAAGCGTTTCTGTGGGGGGCGGGGGGGCGCTGGTGCCTGCATTAGGGGGTGTAGGGGGTGTCTGTCTCTCTGTGAGGCAAATCTGTCCTCGGTTGAACTTCGTCTGCGCGCGCACCAACCGCCGGTTTGCCGATCGTCAGCCGCCTCCGTTTCCTGCTCACCGGCGCGCAAAGCAGGGTTGCGAGAGGTCCAGCAAGCTCTAGAGTCTTTCATGACGATAGTTACTCATATAACTGTACATGAACGTACTCCTGCGTAGAATGCATTAATTATGAATCTGTTGTACAGTATGTATATATATATATATATATGTATACACATACATACATACATACATACATACATACATACATACATACATACATACATATATATATATACACACACCAACATGTGTTTACATATATATATATATATATATATGCACATTGTACATATTGTACAATATATTTCATAGTATCTGTTATAATCATGGTCACGAATAATGGTGGTCTAGGAACAATGCTTATGATTGGAAATACGAAACCAAGCCAGGCAGACGCAGTCGCCTGTGAGCTGACACAGAATGCTGGGGTATCTTCATTGTTGGGATAGGATTAAAAATGTACATGTTTAGTCCTTCTTGGGTTTAAGTACCCATAGAAATGTAAAACTTTACCCGGCTATGACAAATTGCTGATCCTTTGCCTACTTCAGGACAGTCTTGACAGGCGTCGATAAGATCCCTAAGATCTAACTCCTCACTCACGAACATCCAGGATATGTGGGAAGTTCGCTGTTCCTTGTTACTGTTGGCATCTGCCAACGAAACCAGGAATCGAAAATGCAGACCCAGAACACAACATCCCTCACACACATACAATCAGCTCTCATCAAGCAAACCTTCCGCATGCCTCGTCATATACTGTACAACCGGGCGTGTTCTCCCTGCATGGTCTCTCTGTCCTCGGTTGCAGCTCGTCGGCGTGCGCACCAATTGCACGATTGACGATCTTCCGCTGCCTCCGATTCCTGCGCAGTGCAAGCAGCTGTGCTGGCAGCGAACTGGTGCCGGTCGTGCAGCCGAGTGCAACAAGCCTTCTGCGAAAGGAAATTTCATCCTCATGAACTGAAGCTCCTCATGAGTTGTACTAATTAATATACCACCCAGCTTGTTCTCAGCGTCTCTCTGTCTGGTCTCCCCGTCCTCGGTTGCAGCTCGTCGGCGCGCGCACCAATTGCACGTCTGCCGATCTTCAGCCGCTTCCGCTTCCTTCACAATTGTCAATTCTGTTCATCATGCTTCAAAGACACAACATGGCCCTCACATGCAAAGTTCTGTTTCAAGGTACTCGCTCAGTTTACACTGGTGCGAGCACGTTTCACTGCACTGGTAATTATGGGTGCGGCGAACCTGCAACGTGATTCACGGGCAGTCGTCGCGCAACGGGAGAGCCAGTGGCCAGGAAGACTCCGAAAGGAACAATCCACCAGACCTCATGAACTGAACCTCCCGCATGACTCATACCTATCCGGCTTTTGGTCTGCATGGTCTTTCTGTCCTCGGTTGCAGCTCGTCGGCGTGTGCACCAAATGGACGGTTGCCGATCTTCAGCCGCTTCCGATTCCTGCACACTTGTCAACTGTGCATTCATACTTCCCAGACACAACGAGTCCTTCGCACAAAAACTTCTGTTTCAATGCACTCGCCAAGTATGCTAGTTTCACGGAGCTGCCATGGGACCGGCCCTCATCAAATAAACCTCCCACGCACTCTCACATGACATAAATCATTTTGAACTCAGGCTCAAATCATCTGGGAATTGGCAGCTGACATGACTACTGCATGGAAAACCAAGAGGTAGATTGGATGACTTATATACCTATTCAGCCCGTTCTCTCTGCATGGTCTCTCTGTCCTCGGTAGTTGCTCGTCGGCGTGCGCACCAGTTGCACGATTGCCGATCTTCGGCCTCCTCCGATTCCTGCGCGTGCAAGCAGCTGTGCTGTCAGTGGCAAAACTAGTCGGAAAGTCTTTGCTGCGCTTCACGGCCAACAGGAAGCAAAGGCGTCGGTCGTGCATCCGAGTGCAAGAAGGCTTCCGCAAAAGGGAATTTCATCCTCGTGGATGTACTATGCCACTCAACTGTTTCTCAAAGTCTCTCTGTCTGGTCTCTCCGTCCTCGGTTGCAGCTCGTCGGCGTGCGCACCAATTGCACGCTTGCCGATCTTCAGCCGCTTCCGCTTCCTTCACAATCGTCAATGGTTCATCATACTTCCCAGACACGACGGGACCCTCACATGCAAAAAACTGCTTCAAGGCACTCCCCCAGTACGCTGGTGCAAGCACGGTTCACTGCACTGATATGCATGCGGCGAACCTGCTAAATGATTCACGGGCTTTCGTTGTGCTTCGGGAGAGTGAGCAAAAATCGAAGGAACATTCCACTCGAACCCTCCCACATGAAACATATACCCATCCGGTCTATTGGTCTGCATGGTCTTTCCGTCCTCGGTTGCAGCTCGCCGGCGTGTGCACCAAATGGACGGTTGCCGATCTACAGCCGCCTCCGAATCCTGCAGACTTGTCAACTGTGCATACTTGGAGGTGCATGGGTAGTGATAAGTGGGGTTATAAGTCCCCTAATATGGGCTATAACTACAGTTACCTCACTTATAACCCCACTTATAACTACCCATGAACCTTCAAGTACTTCTACGAGACCCTGCCGTGCAGACTCCTTTCAAGGTCAGGGCAATATTCCCAGTATGCTGGTGCAACTGACGCTGACGTTGGGGCGCGGTGGACTCAGCGCGGCAGCAGGAGAGCGAGTGAGACGCTTTCAATGAAAGAACAAAATCATCCCCATAACCTCGTACATGCCACATGCTAGGATGCCCAGTAACCTAGGAATGAAAAGGGCTCCCTTTTTGGTATTTGGTAACTTTATGTGGAAACCAGGACTACAAAAGCGGACTGAAGGTACTACTGAGCATCCTAGTATGCAGGGTTCCCCCGGATGTTCTCTCCGTCCTCGGTTGCAGCTCGTCGGCGTGCGCACCAGTTGCACGATTGCCGATCTTCAGCCCCCTCTGATTCCTGCACACTCGTCGGTTATTCACGTTCAATATGGACATGGGTGCGGCGAAACTGCCGACAGCGAAGCAATCTTTGCTGCGCTCTGCCCGCTAACATGAAGCAAAAGGGTCTAAACCCTAAACCTCTAAATCCGAATCCGGGTCTCTGTCCTCGGTTGCAGCTCTTCGGCGTGAGCACCAGCTGCCCGGCAGCCCATCGTCAGCTGCTTCCAATTCCTGCAAACTGCTTTCATTCCTACGGCAAGAATTGGGAAGATTCTTGACTTCTTGACTCTTGACCTCAAAAAACCTCCCCGGCTCTCTCGCTCTTTTCTCGCTCTTTTTTTTCTCTCTCTCTCTCTCTCTCTCTCTCTCGCTCTCTCTCTCTCTCTCTCTCTCTCTCTCTCTCTCTCTCTCTCTCTCGCGCTCTCTCTCTCTCTCTCTCTCTCTCTCTCTCTCTCTCTCTCTCTCTCTCTCTCTCTCTCTCTCTCTCTCTCTCTCTCTCTCTCTCTCTCTCTCTCTCTCTTTCGCAGAATAAAGCTAGACCATCCGCATCTATCTACAGTGCCAGGCTTGCTTCGCGCTGAGAAGACAGGCTATACAAATGGCTAACGCTTTCAACACCCCATCACACAAAAAACGGAGATGCTCTCAGGCATTCTCCAGTTGATGCCAGGCTTCGATTTACTACGACACGTATTGCGGCGTCGGTCTGTGGTCATACCCTAGGACTCCATAGTAGTTCCTTTTTGGGGTTCATATTTAGAACCCTATAAGGTGATCCCAATAAGGAACTACTACTATGCCTCTGGTCATAGGCATCTTTTGGAAGACCGGTAGTAGTTAGTTAGGACTACTTTGGGAACTCAAGACAAATCCTACTTAGGGCCCTACTTCACATCAGCTCTTCGCTGACACCGAGGGGTTAGGGCGGGGCAACGACCAAGCCATGTAGGATGTTTGTGGTTCTTTCGTTGCCGGGCTACAGGACATAGAGTTCCCGAAACCCTAAACCCTAGTTCTTGGAAACAC